GTGTAATGCATGGTGGGTAATGAATTATGTGCAGTGCATGGTGTGTAATTATATGACTGTTATGCATGGTGTTTAATGATATAAGTGTAATGCATGGTGTGTAGTGAATTATGTGTTATGCATGGTGTTTAATGATATAAGTGTAATGCATGGTGTGTAATGAATTATGTGCAGTGCATGGTGTGTAATGAATTATGTGTAATGCATGGTGTGTAATGAATTATGTGCAGTGCATGATGTGTAATTATATGAATGTTATGCATGGTGTTTAATGATATAAGTGTAATGCATGGTGTGTAATGAATTATGTGTAATGCATGGTGTGTAATGAATTATGTGTAATGCATGGTGTGTAGTGAATTATGTGTTATGCATGGTGTGTAATGAATTATGTGTAATGCATGGTGTGTAATGAATTATGTGTAATGCATGGTTTGTAATTATATAAGTGTTGTGCATTTGTGACACGTCATGCACTTCACATAATACAAAATGCACATTTCACCATACGCCAGATACCATATTTTACACATTATGGACTACATGCCATGCATTAAACAGCATGTGCACCATGCACTACATTTCCCATCTCTCACAAACATTATCTTAACAGTTTTCCTGGAATGTGTATATATAATATATATTACGTCAGAAGGTAAGTGATGTGTCAGTCGGACAGTGACAGCCAATATAGTTCCAACTGAAACCTTTTTCTTAGTTCACCAAAGGCTGATGGTTTGTTTGTTTGTTGTTTGACGCCGCACTCAACAATATTGCAGCTTTATGACGGCGGTGATCTAGTGTTTGACATCATTAGCATCGATCCACGCAGTTGGGATACGATGACATGCATCAACCAAGTCAGCGAGGCTGACCATCCGATCCCGTTAGTCGCCTCTTACGACAAGCATAGTCGCCTTTTACGGCAAGCATGGGTTCTGCCCCGCATCTTCATGGGTGCATGGTGTGTAATGCATTATGTGTAGTGCATGGTGTGTAATGAATTATGTGAAATGCATGGTGTATAATGAAGTATGTGTAGTGCATGGTGTGTAATGAATAATGAGCAGTGCATGGTGTGTAGTGAATGTGTGATGCATGGTGTGTAATGAATTATGTGCAGTGCATGGTGTGTAATTATATGAATGTTATGCATGGTGTTTAATGATATAAGTGTAATGCATGGTGTGTAGTGAATTATGTGTTATGCATGGTGTGTAATGAATTATGTGTAATGCATGGTGTGTAATGAATTATGTGTAATGCATGGTGTGTAATGAATTATGTGTAATGCATGGTGTGTAGTGAATTATGTGTTATGCATGGTGTGTAATGAATTATGTGTAATGCATGGTGTGTAATGAATTACGTGTAATGCATGGTGTGTAATGAATTATGTGTAATGCATGGTGTGTAGTGAATTATGTGTTATGCATGGTGTGTAATGAATTATGTGTAATGCATGGTGTGTAATGAATTATGTGTAATGCATGGTGTGTAATTATATAAGTGTTGTGCATTTGTGACACGTCATGCACTTAACATTATACAAAATGCACATTCCACCATGCGCCAGATACCATATTTTACACATTATGGACTACATGCCATGCATTAAACAGCATGTGCACCATGCACTACATTTCCCATCTCTCACAAACATTATCTTAACAGTTTTCCTGGAATGTGTATATATAATATATATTACGTCAGAAGGTAAGTGATGTGTCAGTCGGACAGTGACAGCCAATATAGTTCCAACTGAAACCTTTTTCTTAGTTCACCAAAGGCTGATGGTTTGTTTGTTTGTTGTTTGACGCCGCACTCAACAATATTGCAGCTTTATGACGGCGGTGATCTAGTGATTGACATCATTAGCATCGATCCACGCAGTTGGGATACGATGACATGCATCAACCAAGTCAGCGAGCCTGACCATCCGATCCCGTAAGTCGCCTCTTACGACAAGCATAGTCGCCTTTTACGGCAAGCATGGGTTCTGCCCCGCATCTTCATGGGTGCATGGTGTGTAATGCATAATGTGTAGTGCATGGTGTGTAATGAATTATGTGAAATGCATGGTGTATAATGAAGTATGTGTAGTGCATGGTGTGTAATGAATAATGAGCAGTGCATGGTGTGTAGTGAATGTGTGATGCATGGTGTGTAATGAATTATGTGCAGTGCATGGTGTGTAATGAATTATGTGTAATGCATGATGTATAATGAATTATGTGTAGTGCATGGTGTGTAATGAATTATGTGTAATGCATGGTGTGTAATTATATAAGTGTTGTGCATTTGTGACACGTCATGCACTTCACATTATACAAAATGCACATTCCACCATACGCCAGATACCATATTTTACACATTATGGACTACATGCCATGCATTAAACAGCATGTGCACCATGCACTACATTTCCCATCTCTCACAAACATTATCTTAACAGTTTTCCTGGAATGTGTATATATAATATATATTACGTCAGAAGGTAAGTGATGTGTCAGTCGGACAGTGACAGCCAATATAGTTCCAACTGAAACCTTTTTCTTAGTTCACCAAAGGCTGATGGTTTGTTTGTTTGTTGTTTGACGCCGCACTCAACAATATTGCAGCTTTATGACGGCGGTGATCTAGTGATTGACATCATTAGCATCGATCCACGCAGTTGGGATACGATGACATGCATCAACCAAGTCAGCGAGGCTGACCATCCGATCCCGTTAGTCGCCTCTTACGACAAGCATAGTCGCCTTTTACGGCAAGCATGGGTTCTGCCCCGCATCTTCATGGGTGCATGGTGTGTAATGCATTATGTGTAGTGCATGGTGTGTAATGAATTATGTGAAATGCATGGTGTATAATGAAGTATGTGTAGTGCATGGTGTGTAATGAATAATGAGCAGTGCATGGTGTGTAGTGAATGTGTGATGCATGGTGTGTAATGAATTATGTGCAGTGCATGGTGTGTAATGAATTATGTGTAATGCATGATGTATAATGAATTATGTGTAGTGCATGGTGTATAATGAATACTGTGCAATGCATGGTGTGTAGTGAATGTGTGATGCATGGTGTGTAATGCATTTTGTGTAGTGCATGGTGTGTAATGAATTATGTTAAATGCTTGGTGTGTAGTGAATGTGTGATGCATGGTGTGTAATGCATTATGTGTAGTGCATGGTGTATAATGAATAACAGTGCAGTGCATGATGTGTAGTGAATATGTGATGCATTATCTGTATTGCATTTTGTGTTATGATTATGCAGTGTATGATGGGTAGAGAATATGAAATACGTGGTGTGATGTATAATGCATGATGTGTAGTGCATTTCGTGTAATACATGATTGTAATGAAAGTTTTTGTACGGTGTGTAGTGCTTTGTTTGTAGTGCATACTTTGTAATTAATTACATATGTTGAATGGTGTGTAATTATTTATATATTATGCATGGCGTGTAATTAATTATATATATTATGCATGGTGTGTTATCAGTTATATATTATGCATGGTGTGTTATTAATTATATATTATGCATGGTGTGTAATTAATTATATATTAAGCAGGGTGTGTACTCAATTATATATGTTGGATGGTGTGTAATCAATTATATATTATGGATGGTGTGTAATTATTATATATTATGCATGGTGTGTAATTAATTATGTATTATGCATGGTGTGTAATCAATTATATATATATGCATGGTGTGTAATTTATTATATATTATACCTCGTGTGTAATTAATCATATATTATGCATGGTGTGTAATCAATTATATATGTTGCATGGTGTGTTGTGCATGGTATGCAATTAATTATATATTATGCATGGTGTGTAATCAATTATATATTATGCATGGTGTGTAATCAATTATATATTATTCATGGTGTGTTGTGCATGGTGTGTCGTGCATGTAAGTCATTAATTATATATTATGCATGGTGTGTTGTGCATCGTGTGTCATGCATGTAAGTCATTAATCATATATTATGCATTGTGTGTTGTGCATGGTGTGTTGTGCATGGTGTGTCGTGCATGTAAGTCATTAATTATATATTTTGCATGGCGTGTTGTGCATGGTGTGTTGTGCATGGTGTGTCGTGCATGTAAGTCATTAATTATATATTTTGCATGGCGTGTTGTGCATGTGTGTCGTGCATGGTGTGTCGTGCATGTAAGTCATTAATTATATATTTTGCATGGTGTGTTGTGCATGGTGTGTTGTGCATGGTGTGTCGTGCATGTAAGTCATTAATCATAAATTATGCATTGTGTGTTGTGCATGGTGTGTTGTGCATGGTGAGTCGTGCATGTAAGTCATTAATTATATATTTTGCATGGCGTGTTGTGCATGTGTGTCGTGCATGGTGTGTCGTGCATGTAAGTCATTAATTATATATTTTGCATGGCGTGTTGTGCATGTGTGTCGTGCATGGTGTGTCGTGCATGTAAGTCATTAATTATATATTTTGCATGGCGTGTTGTGCATGTGTGTCGTGCATGGTGTGTCGTGCATGTAAGTCATTAATTATATATTTTGCATGGTGTGTTGTGCATGGTGTGTTGTGCATGGTGTGTCGTGCATGTAAGTCATTAATCATAAATTATGCATTGTGTGTTGTGCATGGTGTGTTGTGCATGGTGAGTCGTGCATGTAAGTCATTAATTATATATTTTGCATGGCGTGTTGTGCATGTGTGTCGTGCATGGTGTGTCGTGCATGTAAGTCATTAATTATATATTTTGCATGGTGTGTTGTGCATGGTGTGTTGTGCATGGTGTGTCGTGCATGTAAGTCATTAATTATATATTTTGCATGGCGTGTAGATCAAAGCATGATTGGCTCCACGTTTCGTGCACGGTCCAAAGTGCATGGTGTGTAGTATCTATACTCATTAGCAAGTGTTAGGATGTACATATGAAAACATACACATTCAAAGCAATACTGATATGAGTTTGGTGGAGCAATCAAGGACAACGAGTGCAAGGTTGTCAATGAAACATTTATTTCATTAGACAGAAACCATTACACAAAGAGCATAATCTCAAAACAGTCTCATCTCGCTCCGCGAAAACTTGCTTCCTAACATGCACATGATCTAACCAACGATTGGCTGAGCGTCAAGTTGGTCCAAGATGAGCGCAGCGTAGAGAGGGTCGTAGCTGTTTCTACCTGTACGGGCGGAGGGGGCGTAAGGGGAGGCAATCTCGTTTAAGCCGTACGATAGACCGGGATGGTTGATATCAAGGGCATCAGCAAGGAGGTAGTCGTTGAGGAAGTTGTTGTATCCGTTGCCGTGTCGTGGTGCGTATCCAGATCGTGCAGCAGTAGGTACCCGTGCAGCCTGCCTAGGTCTGTCTTGGTTGATGATAATCACCCTTGGTTGTTGGTTGGCATACCCTTTGACAGTCCTGGGCTGCACTTGCAATCCTGAAGCACCTGGAATTAAATCGCCTAGGTATTAGAGTGAGTGAGTATGGTTTACGACGTTTTCGGCAACATTGCAGCATTACTACTACGATCCCAACAAGAAAGGGTGTCCCACATTGTTCCCATGTCGGAATTTGAGTTTTGAGATCGAGCCAACGCTTTAACAGCTATACTGGTCATCTGTCGTCAGTTCCTCAGAGGTGTTCATGATGGTGTGTAGTCCCATAGGATGGAGACAATAAAATCTTAACAATTTCCATCAACGAATCATTGTTAAAACACACTGATGATAGGAGGTCGACAGTCGAAGAATACCCAATATTTGCCAGAGGTAATGTGTAGTTAAACGACGCTGAGGGACATTCATAAATTGTAAGACTGAATTCTCCTGATATACTTACGATTGTAACGGGCATCACTTATGACACACAAACAGACCAGGATGGCAGCAGGTAGAATTATAGCAGTCCTCATGATTCGGGTGTTTTTAATTTCTGTTCTGTAAAAGTGATGCAAGATGTCAACAAAAATAATGGCAGCACAATTTCAGTCGTATTCGTTGTTAGGGTATCATTACATTTAACACTGACTGAGATTTTATGAAAGCTAACCAATTAATGACACATTCGCATACATATATTGATATTCAAAATTATTGCGCTTATAAAGCGACGTGCGTGTGTGTATGTATGTGTGGCTGCTTATACTATTCTGGACTAATGCCGACTTGATAGTGCGAGCCCACTGGGATTGACGCATTTTAACACGAATACCCCACTCAGACACAGTATACTCCGAGCCGACCACGCCTTGTTTTAGCCCCTTAATGCCAAGTACCATCTTATCGAACCCCGGACCTTCCGCTCTCCAGAATGGCGCTCTACCACTAGACCACGGAGGCGTTCTCTAACGAACAGGTCCTTAATACACAAAGGTTGTAGAAGAACATGACACATGAAAACTTCTAGTATACAAGCAATATTAGACTCCACAGTCGATTTACAAGAAAAGATAAATTGACAAGAAAATATAACAAACAGTTGGCTCACCTGTTGCTGCTGCTCTGTGGCTACAATTGGAGAATGATGGTGTCCAGAGAAATGAGGAATACTTTTATACGCCAGCCGGACATCCTTCAAGGAGCATCGTGACACAGTGACGTAACAATGGTCACTGTCATGCAACTTACCCTGACAATACCATGCCTGTATTGGTTCAAATTCGTCTGTGATGTAATAATGAAATTTTACTATGTTCTTACATGTGACAAGACGTCCATCATAAATCAAGCCTCCTTGTACCCATCAAAGAGGTGAAAATATCCCGAGGCAGGATTTAGACAAAAACAATTACAGGTTCATCAATAGATTTAACTACAATGACATATTCATTGACAGAGACTAACACGAGTCCCTGTCATACAGAGCTTCAAAGGAATGCACAGTGTGTACCACGATGATTATGCTTAGAACAGCCCGTGAGTTGATGATAAATGAATTGATTCCTGAATATAATTTTATAAAATTTTGTTATACACAAGATTGTTTCTTTGTGCTCGTATGCTGGAAAGGTAGTGATGATTGTGTGAGTATATTCCTGTATGTCAGCAGATGAGTGTGCCTATGCCTCTGTATTTGAGGGTAGCAGATATGGTGTGTGTATGTGCCTGTATGTAGGAAGGGTAGCGATGATTGTGTGTGTATGTTTCTGCATGTAAGAAGGGTAGCGATGATTGAGCGTGAGTATGTTCCTGTATGTAAGAAGAGTAGCGATGATTGTGCGTGTGTATGTTACTGTATGTAAGAAGGGTAGCGATGATTGTGCATGTGTATGTTACTGTATGTAAGAAGGGTAGCGATGATTGTGTGTGTATGTTCCTGTATGTAAGAAGTGTAGCGATGATTGTGCATGTGTATGTGCCTGTATGTAGGAAGGGTAGCGATGATTGTGCATGTGTATGTTACTGTATGTAAGAAGGGTAGCGATGATTATGTGTGTATGTTACTGTATGTAAGAAGGGTAGCGATGATTGTGCATGTGTATGTGCCTGTTTGTAAGAAGTGTAGCGATGATTGTGCATGTGTATGTGCCTGTATGTAGGAAGGGTAGCGATGATTGTGCGTGTGTATGTGCCTGTATGTAAGATGGATAGCGATGATTATGCATGTGTATGTGCCTGCATGTAGGAGGGGTAGCGATGATTCTTCATGTGTATGTGCCTGTATGTAGGAAGGGTAGCGATGATTGTGCATGTGTATGTGCCTGTATCTACCCTTCTTTCATACAGGCACATACACATGCACAATCATCGCTACCCGTCTAACATACAGGCACATGCAAATGCACAATCATCGCTACCCTTCTTACATACAGGCACATACATTAAAACCGTTTGAATAAAAGTCATCTCAACTTTGAAACCAAGTTGTTGTATTCCTGCCGTGGTGTCTCCTGATTGTGAAGACCAAGAAGAAGAACCCTGGTTACAACCTAGACTGATCGATGAGCCGAATTTTTATGGTGCCGAGACCCGGATCTTGGAAAGCAACTCTCCAACCAGGAGCACCCCAGGAACCAAGAACATAACTAGGAAAAATCTCTCGAGGTAAGTTTTACCCTAAGTGATTCAAATTGTTCTGCTGGCTTATAGTATATCATATATAGTTAAGAAGAGATTAACTAACAAAGGACTGAGTAAGGGGTATATATATATATATATACGTAAAAGTGGAAAAAAGGTAATTGATGGCAGTAGCATGTACCCCGGATCTAAGGACCCCAGAATAGACGGTTAGCGAAGGGAGGTTTGCGGCTCAAGTAAGCTGGGGGGTCGTTTTAGTGCGGAACTAATAGAGAAAGATTTGAAGGAGTGGGTGAAGTTGTCCCCAGTATTAAGGAATTGGATAGGGAGACAAAGAAATAGCGGGTACGGAGAAAGAAAACAATTCTCCCGACCACATAATAGCGGTATGTATTACGTTTTTAAGCAGACAAAATGATCATGGCCGGGTAGAACTGAGAGAGAGAGACCCTAGAACCCACCGATCAGCCCAGGCAGAGTTGATCCCTTTGACCGAAATAACCACCAACACACGACCCCAAGAAGCTTTTCCTAGACCAGCTTCACGATTCGCCGGTCAGAAGAGAAAGCATTCGCCGTTTCATCCTGAGAAGATAAGCGAAGGGCGAGCATCCCACGATGAGAAATCTGATGAAGAGGACCTGCCTCTTACATCGGCACCCCTTGACGTACGCAGTCAGAAACCAGATCAAGTAACAGGTTCATTCCGATTGGTGCAGTGAGAATTCTCGACGAAATGGCGGGGAACTATATGGGAATGGTGTGTTGTAAGTCGGTGAAGGCATTCAACTAGTGGCTGTGGTGTGGATAAAAAGTGTGCAGCCAGAAAGTGAAAGGTGTGGCTGGATTATTCGAGGATGAAGATAAAGGAAGGGATAGTGTATTCTTATGTGAATATGCCAAGTAATTCCTACCCTTGTGAACAAAGAGCACGAAATAATTGACAGAGCCGGTATAGGACGACGGGCTGTAAAGACTATACAGCGATACAAGCCAAGAACTATTAACTATAAATAATAAAAAGGACAAAACGTGCTGACGTTGGATCAGGAAGATTAATTTACTCTGGGTATATGCAAGAAAATGTAATTGTGAATACATTTTCTTACCCTAAGGAAGGGAGGATTTTAACCAGGAGTCGCACACCCGGTTATAATTATATAAATAATTAAGATAAATGCAAGCATATTACTGTACATGAATTATATGTGAATATGGAAGTGTTGAATTGAATATGATATGAATTTATGTGAAGGAATTTGAATGTACTCACATTGTATAACTGTATAACCCGAGGAGCGCAGGTGGCGGCCAATTATATTTAATTAATTGGTTTTCTAATTTGAATGAGAGGGTGTCAAGTAAAGAGCTAAGGTTTTCACGAAACAGCCAAGGTGATTTAAGAGAAATTATTAGTTAAGATTAACTATACGAAATGTACAGGGAGGGAACCGGTCCGACCCCCGTAGTTGCAAGTTAGAAAATATATCAAGGACTTAATAGATAGGAATAACCTGAGAGTACGAGATCAAAACCTCGGATAAGTCACTAAGAAGCTTTTTAACTACTCATTCTTCATAATAATAAATAGTTTTAAAGCATGAGCACCAGAACGGACTCACGTGCTGGTCAACCTCGTGACGTCATATTAATTTATCATTGGACTGACGTAGAGAAGTTTGAGGGATAAAACGAGGTGGAAAATCGTCATTCGGGGAGAACGGTTTGCGGGACACTAGTAGACAGGTCAGAGGTCACTGCGCTCCTAAGAAACTCAGATTGCTGCCAGCACGTTTGCGTGGTATCTGATTACTATATTAAAACCGTTTGAATAAAAGTCATCTCAGCTTTGAAACCAAGTTGTTGTATTCCTGCCGTGGTGTCTCCTGATTGTGAAGACCAAGCAAAAGAACCCAAGAAAGAAGGGTAGCGATGATTGTGCGTGTATGTTCCTGTATGTAAGAAGGGTAGCGATGATTGCGTGTACATGTTCCTGTATGTAAGAAGGGTAGCGATGATTGTGCGTGCGTATGTTCCTGTATGTTAGACGGGTAGCGATGATTATGTGTGTATGTTCCTGTATGTAAGAAGGGTAGCGATGATTGTGTGTGTATGTTCCTGTATGTAAGACGGGTAGCGATGATTGTGCATGTGTATGTGCCTGTATGTAAGACGGGTAGCGATGGTTGTGCATGTGTATGTACCTGTATGTAAGAAGGGTAGCAATGATTGTACATGTGTATGTGCCTGTATGTAGGAAGGGTAGCGATGATTCTTCATGTGTATGTGCCTGTATGTAGGAAGGGTAGCGATGATTGTGCATGTGTATGTGCCTGTATGTAAGAAGGGTAGCGATGATTCTGCGTGTGTATGTGCCTGTATGTAGGAAGGGTAGCGATGATTGTGCATGTGTATGTGCCTGTATGTAAGAAGGGTAGCGATGATTGTGCGTGTGTATGTGCCTGTATGTAGGAAGGGTAGCGATGATTGTGCATGTGTATGTGCCTGTATGTAGGAAGGGTAGCGATGATTGTGCATGTGTATGTACCTGTATGTAAGAAGGGTAGCAATGATTGTACATGTGTATGTGCCTGTATGTAGGAAGGGTAGCGATGATTCTTCATGTGTATGTGCCTGTATGAAAGAAGGGTAGCGATGATTCTTCATGTGTATGTGCCTGTATGTAAGAAGGGTAGCGATGATTCTTCATGTGTATGTGCCTGTATGTAGGAAGGGTAGCGATGATTGTGCATGTGTATGTGCCTGTATGTAGGAAGGGTAGCGATGATTCTTCATGTGTATGTGCCTGTATGAAAGAAGGGTAGCGATGATTGTGCATGTGTATGTGCCTGTATGTAGGAAGGGTAGCGATGATTCTTCATGTGTATGTGCCTGTATGTAGGAAGGGTAGCGATGATTGTGCATGTGTATGTGCCTGTATGTAGGAAGGGTAGCGATGATTGTGCGTGTGTATGTGCCTGTATGTAGGAAGGGTAGCGATGATTGTGCATGTGTATGTGCCTGTATGTAAGAAGGGTAGCGATGATTGTGCATGTGTATGTGCCTGTATGTAAGACGGGTAGCGATGATTGTGCATGTGTATGTGCCTGTATGAAAGAAGGGTAGCGGTGATTGTGCGTGTGTATGTGCCTGTATGTAAGAAAGGTGGCAAATGTGGTGTGATATATAATGCATGATGTGTAGTGCAATTTGTGTAATGTATGATTGTAGTGCATGGTTTGTATTGTGTGTAATGCTTTGTTTGTAGTGCATAATTTGCAATTAGTTATATATGTTGCAATGTGTGTTGTGCATGGTGTGTAATTAGAAAACAAATATATCATGCATAGTGTTGTGCATGGTGTGTCGTGCATGGTATAATATTCCATAAATTATATATTTTGCATGGTGTGTTATTGATTACATATTATGCATGGTGTGTTGTGCATGGTGTGTCGTGCATGGTATTTCATTAATTATATATTTTGCATTGTGGGTAATTGATTATATAT